AGATGTGTGAAATTTAATTGCTCTTATATATGTTGTGTTATAAAGTATTATGAAAATATTCAAATAATGGAGGACTAAAATATGTATACATATAAAGAGGAGAAGTGATTTTAATGCAAAAAGTTTTTGTTTTCTACTCTTTTTTCATGGTTAATTATGGCAAAAAACAAAAATACATTTTAAATTAATTGAGTAATGATTATATTTATTTAATTGTTCTATAATATAATAGTTATTATGCAAACTAATGTTTTGCACTAAATGACATATGAAAGTCACTTAAAAAGTCACATAAGTATAAAAAAATTATGTCGTAAAACTTTGCTTTTAATTTATTTATTTTAAAATCAATTTTTTTTTTTTTTTTTTTTTTTTTTTTTNTTTTGTATCTTATTAAGAATTGTTTTTTAAGTAACCTAACTGGTTTTAATGGTATAGTCAAACCCATTAAAATGCATAAAGCAATTGTCATGATTCCCCAAGGTTATAAAAATTACATTATTCATCACATTTTATCCAATCAATCAAGTGAATCATCTTTACATAGTTTTGTCTATTTATATTACAAATGTTCAAATTTTTAATATATAATACTACTACATAACTTATGATTTAAATAGTATATGCATACATATAGCTTATAAAGTTATGCTATAGATCCAACAGTTGGCTCCATAATAGAGCCAACATTCTATACATAATAAAAAAGTAAAACTAACGTGTCTTTTTATTTGAATAAAAAACATACTACAAAAAATTTGTCACATTGTTTATAATTATGTAAATCTTTTTTGAATTCTTTCAATTAAACATTAGAATTAATAATAATCTGTACAAATAATTTGAGAAAGTAGTACAAACTTTTTGCAGTATTTGTTTTATTTAAATTTAAAATATAGGTGTTTTTACTTTTTCATTGTGGTAGTTTGATGCAGCAAAAGAGTACAATTGAGAACAAAGACGAGAGATTTCGACCTCAAGTGCGTGTTTGTCTTATTCAAATATCAACTGAACTTCACAAAATATAAAGAGTCCTTTAATTAAGGCTCCTAAAACCCTAATATTAACTTGTCTAACAAGACAAGGATTCTAATATAGTAATAAATTAATACGTTTCCTAACATATATATAATACCACTAATAATCATAATAATAAAGAGGGAAACAAATAATAAAATTAAAGATTCTAAAAATTCTTATCTCCATCATTCTTACCCTCTTGAAAATGATTTACTCCCTGAATCTGGCACAACCTTGTGGTCACCAATTCATCATATGCCACTTAACATGAAAACAATCAACAGATTGACCAAACATATCGACAAAGAAGAAAAAAAAAACTTGTCTCTATTTTTTTCATCAAAGAACGTGCTCAGTTTTATTTTTTGGCTTAGTGGTAGGACCAGACTCCACTCATGACATCACATCGTAGCATATAGTTTTTCAACTTCGAATCAAACAATAAAATTGTGATTTCAGATATCAGCCATCCATTTATATTAGAAAAGTCCTGAACTGCTTTCTCGGTTGGTGAAAGTTGATTATCATCAATATTCAGCCCTATTGGTTTGCACTGGCTCGTTCCTTAGCCACATGACTGTCGTTCTCCACCGACGACATTAGATCCTCTTCGTAAAAAATTGACGGACCCTCATACTCGGACGACCCCTTGTCATCGAAATGTGAAGAACCCTCATCCTCGGTCGACCATTACGCGTCCATAAAGGTCCCTGAAAGTTCGTGGATCTCCACTCAATACGATGAGTTCCAACGCCGATCGTCGGTGAATTCGGTCCTCGTCCAGCACCTCCACCGCCTCGAAAAGAATAAATCAGAGAAGGTGTCGCTAAAGTCACCTTTGCCGACCCACGGTGGAGGCGACCGAGCGCAGGGCAACCCATGTGGACCCCAACCACGACCCCCGCGCATCCCATCACGCTTGTCGTCTGCAGCATCTTGTCTGCGCGGCGGCATCGTTGATCATGGCTGTGCTCTGGTACCAACTGATGTAGCGAAAACGTAAAATTGAGAATAAAGAGAAGGGATTTCAATCTCAAATACGTGTTTTTAATATCAACTAAATTTCACAAAAGAGGATGAGTCATTTAGAAAAGGCTCCTACAACCTTAATACTAACTTGTCCAACAAGATAAAGATTCTAACAAAGTATATAAATTTCCTAACAAATCTATAATACCACTAATAATCATAATAATAAAGATGGAAAAATAAATTAAATTAAAGATTTTTAATATACTTATCCCCATCATAAATCTTCTTATTAAGTAGTAGTTAATTGTACTTTCACCTAATTAGAACTTATGTTATTTTCTACTTGCTATTTATAGGAGGTTGACTCCACATAGGAGGTTGACTCTCTTTTGGAGTCAACTGTTAATTTCATAACAAAATTATTGTACAAATTAATATGGGATTTCTCGTTCACACATTTCAGTTACTCCTACACATAATCAGCACCGTAACAAGCTAGCTCCCTTTTCGCTCGAAATAATGGTCATAGGGCATTGAATTCTTGACTTCTGCACGTAATTTTGGTCTAAAAGGAATTCAATTTGAAGGAATAAACGGGAACAGAATGTAACACCCCGAGTTTTATTAATAAAGGGAAGTACTAGTTTTTAATTTTAAGGTAGTCTTTGTTAATAAATATTCATGTTAATGTTCAGAGACCAAGTAATTCAGCTAGTTAAGTTTCAAGTTCGACGTTAAGTCGAATATGTAAATCTGGTTAATTTTTATTAACCGAGTTAACGTTAATAATTAATCTCAGTCCGTTTATTAATAAATGGACACCATCAGATGAGTATTAATTATTCCAATATTGATGTATTAATTAAATTAATCGTCTCAAGTTAAATTCAAGCCATTTATTCAGTTTCAGTTAAAGTTCGACTATTAGTCGATAAGTTATTTCAGACGAGATTATCCGAAATTATTTTCGAAGTCACGTTTACGTTCCGAAGAATTTTGGTAAATAAGTATTCATGCTTAATAATTAATTAAGAATATAGATTATGATTAATTAGTAATTAATCATGTTAATTAAGTATAAATTGTGAGCATTATAAGTGAAATTGAGCAAAATTTCTATTCAATTGCCGTGAGAATTGTTCAAGTGCAAGTAAGGAAATTATCATGCAATTTATCTTAAAGTGGATTTTCCCTAACCATGAGGTGTCATGTTGTTAGCTCCTCACTTATGACTAAGCTTGGTTATGAGATGATTAAGCCTTATGTCATGGCAAATGGTGAGAAATCATTGGACAAAAATATTCTTTCACCTCTTCATTATATTCTTTCGGCCATTATAAATGAGGGAGACTTGGAATCAATTTCGTTTCCCATTTTTAGCATATATACCTCACCATAGCTTAGTTATTAAGTATAGAGAGAATTAGGAATT